TTGCAGGAACAAACCCAGTTGACTGGGTTTGTATGATATTCCTTCAGCTTGTCCGGATGCACTGTTTTGCAGGCCTCTTTTCTCCAATGCTTCTTGAATGCCTCTCGCCACCGAGCTTTGAAGATACGGAACTGTCCATTGGAAATCGCCGTCATTCGATGGACCGCATCGGGAAGAACCCGAGAAGTTAGAATCCACACCACCAGGTCGACTCGGGGCCGATTGAAACGATGGAGATAGTCATGCTTCAATGTTCGCCAGTGCGACTCCACGATCATTGTGGTTTTCACCACCGGGATCTCAATCGGGTCAGCCGCTCGAGCCCACAGCTTCCACTGATCAGGGCTATACCAGTTGACGTACAGGTAAGCCCAAAGACGATAATATCCACGGGTCTTACACCAAGTATACATCTCTGTCGCACATTCCTGGTGCACTATTGCTGAGGACTTGTAAGTCCCGTTTGAATCAGGAATGAGAGGATGGAGGTTAAAATGCCGGCAGAAAATTTCCAATACCATGTCACGGTCCTCCTTGGTGGCTGGTTCCAGCCTCCCCATTTCGCTAATTGTATCAGCCTTTGACGGGCATCTGCAATCGCCAAATCTATGGCACACTGGCCGACGGATCGGGAGTGAACCCCAGCAGATCTCCAAATCCGGGATTAACTTCTGAGCGTCCTCTGGCCGATAGTGGTTTTGCGTGTTGGTGCTTTTGGATGAGTTGAGCCTCGTGCTTACGGCCCGTTTGGCATGCCAGTAGCAAAGTTGAACCTTGACCCCTGGCCAAACCGTCGTGACAGCTGTAATTTCTGCCGGATCCTTGTCAATCGCGACGCATCTCGGATTGAACCCGAAATTTTTCAGTCGCTGGAGAAATTGTTGAATAATGTACGTCATCGCTCCCGGGTCCGCTCGGACGGGCTTCGTCTCCGCCTGTTGGGATTGTGGAGGCTTTAGCAGCTCTACCAGACAATAAGCAAGCGGAACTCCAGTACCTTCAACTTCAGATAATACCGCAAAGAGGTCCATCCCGCCACTGTTGGTTCCGAACGTCGAGTCCATCACCAATTGTGGAGCTGTATTTCGAAGCTTCTGGATAGGTTCGCAGGCAAAAAACGCCAATGCCCTCAGGTTTCGTGCTGTGAAGATGCTGTGGTGATCGCGATAGCGACTGCTTTCAGAAAGGAGCGTTGTGGCCGAAATGAAGGGATCCGGGTCTCGCTGCCAGATCTCGGCATTCGCTTTCTGCCAGAGATAGTAGACCTGATGCCGGGTCACAGGCTTTCCTTCTGGAATCTGTCGAATCTCACGGTATATCTCGGACGGAGTTTTGGTCGATACAAGCGAATTGATGAGTTCCTGCACAAGTAGCGATAATTCGATGTCTTCATAAGGTGTATGCCATTGGTGATGGATTGAAAGGGACAGGGTTCGATTTTGAAAGCATGGCCGCATGGTGAGCTTGCTTCGGCACGGAAATCGCGTCATACGGCGGCCATCCCGCTGCTTCTCCTCCTCCACTGTAGATCGATAGCTTTTAACATGCATCGAATCTTGGGAGCAGTGATATTGGTACGTGAGGCTTTGGAAATTGGTGCCAGTGTGGCGGAAGCGAAATCCGCCTTCCTTCCAAATGATCACACTCATATCGTGCATTGCCGCGTTCATCTCGGTTCTTGGAAGCGTACCACGGCCGGTATAATTTCCATCATGTTTTGCAAGCTCGAGCACGCGTGGGGAACCAAAATTCACGGGTAGAGCATCCAAATCAAAAACGTAGTTCTCATCTAACACCTGGCGACCGCGCTAATAGCTCAGAGTAGGTTAGAAGACTGTTCCGTGCATTGATTTGGGCTCCCATCTGTGCAATATTGAAGTTGCTTACCTGTTTCTTCCAATTGCGAAGAAGTAAGGTGAAACTGTCCCAATCATGCAACTCCAACGCGCGTTTTCGGCTGTGGCGCTTGCACGTTCTGTTCCGCTGGCCTTTCTTGTTGACTTCAAATTCAGCTGCAGCACGGAAATTGGCGCACTTGCTACAGAAGATTTTATCAACCTCCGCAAGTTGAAAATCCATTGCTCGACAAGGTAGAAATGACGGCTGGTGATGGCACAAAAGGACGCGTTCCGAGGAGCGCGGAATGGAAATAAACAGAGTTCCAAAAAAGGAAAGGTGGGATTGATGACTAAGTGAATTTCACCACATGATCGCAGATTTAGTGAAGTGCATTACGCCCCCATAAAAAATAGTTCCTATCACGTGTTTTTAAGGCCTCTGATTGGCCACAATATTGCCTTTTGATTGGCTACCTTTAACCCCCCTTCTGATTGGATGTTCTGAATCCCTTCTGATTGGCTAGCTACGAGGTCAACTTTCACTTTCACATGACATCGTGTGTTTGACGCGTACACCTCACGTCACCTAATGGAATCTAAATGTTGCTCTGCCTGCGCCCACACACGCATACTTTCTTGCTTCCTTAAGAATGCCTCGGCTGATCCGAGTAGTAAGGTCTTTGCTACCTGTATTCCTTGCCGCGATAAGGCCAAGAAGAGGAGGGCTTTGCAGACGCCACTTCCTAATAGGACGTCTAAAAGACGCGTGGAACCATCGACAACGACCCAGGCTATGTCAAGACAACCACTCCTGAGTCGGCTCCAGCCTAGACTCATTCATCCCGCCCAGTCTCAACCTATCCTACCAATCCAGCGTCTTATCCAGCCTCAGCCTCCAAACCCCCAACCTATTCCACCAGTCCAGCATCATGCCCAGGCGCAAGGATCCATTTCACCGGTTCAGTCTCGAGCCCGGCGTCAGCAAACCTTTCAACCACTCGAGCCTCGAGCCCCTCAACGTATCCTAGCTGTCCAGCGTCAGGTCCAGCGTCGACCTATTCCGTCAGTCCTGCCTCGAGTCCAGCCTCAAATCCGGCGCCAACAACCCCCTCCACCACTCCAGCGTCGACCTCTTCTACCAGCCCAGCCCCTACCCTTCCTGCCCCTACAGCATCTGGTCCTGCCAATACAGCATCAAGTCCCACCCAAACCCCTTCAACCACTCCAACGTCAAGCCCTGCCTCGAGTCAGTCAGTCTATCCGACCAGCCCAATCCCAAGTCCAGCCTCGACCCATTCTGCCAATCCAGCCTCAAGTCACTGGCTTCCTCCCGGCTGAACAATGGGGATATATACAGAGGTTTAATACGGCGATGGGGGAGGTGAAGATGGACACATGCCTCCGCTGTAAGGAGCGGAATTTGCGATGGATCTTAAAGGGCTGGTCTGCCATGCCTGCTTCTTACGAGATAAGCGAGACCAAAGCCCTTTTTTAATGTCTGCCGAGAACAACATGGACCCGGGAGAGCTTCCAGCCTACCTACCAGAGCTCACACAGGTCGAGGAGATGATCATCGCCCGGTCTCACGTGCAGATGATGGTCCATCGCTACCGTGGCCATCAATACCACTACACGGGGCATTGCGTGAGTTTCATGCAGAACACGGTCAAGACGGTTGACGTGCTACCTAACCTACCATCGGAACTAGACGTTGTGGTTTTACGGCCCTCGGATAGAGTGATGCAGGACGATCCACGATATCAACGCCAGTTCCGGTCGGATTTCCGTGTCCGGAAAGGGCGTGTGATTACTTGGTTACGGTTCTTAAAAGAGCATCACCCTGATTATCGATATATCACGATATCCCAGGACAGAATCCACGCTCTCCCGGTCGACGACGATGTGTCCTCCTCCTTCACATCTATCCTCGACCGTGATCCAGCTGAGGAGGGCCAGGGTCAACCCGTGTCGGACGAGCTTCCGCCTCCAAACTCTCAATCCATGGTCCCGAATCTAAATATCACCACAACAGAGATGGATAGGATTATGCAAGACATCACCGGCCGAAAGCCCCCGCCTCCCTGTCTCCCGGCGCCATCGATTCGCAAGACTCCGATCGATGAAGCGTCTGGAAAGGACCGTATCTTTGCAATGGCCTTCCCTACATTGTATCCAACTGGCCGTGCCGATTTCAACACCCCTCGACTACGCAAGGTAGACCTCAACGACTACGCCCGGCATCTGATGTGTTTCCACGACGGGAGGTTTGGCCAGCACCCACGCTGGCGGTTTTTAGTCTTCAACATCCTGATGCGTCGGAAGGCCAACAGCTCTGCTCGCTTTTATGTCTCGAAAGCGTCCGGTCTAAAGGACTTGAGTCGTGACGAGCTTGCGGAGGCCCTAATAGCGGACGAGGGCCTCCTACCGTACATTGTACGTCAGGGTTCGCATCTGACCGGCACGCGGCCATTCTGGAACAATAAGAGCAATACCTTGCAGGCTCTGGCCCGCTTTCTCTCGCCCAGTATGTCGCCAGTTTTTGTAACCCTTAGTGCGGCTGATATGCAATGGCAGGACTTGCACCGGCATTTCCCTGGCTTTGCGAACCTGGCAACGGCTGATGACCGCACGCGGCGGACTTTTGTTTGGGATGGGGTTCAGAAGAACCCGCACGTCGTCGCTCACTACTTGGCGATTCGTTTACGGACCTTTACGGAGCACGTTCTACGCCCGCTGCTTGGCTTCACGGACTCCTGGGACCGGTTTGAGTGGCAGGCGCGGGGTTCTGGCCACTCCCACGCCCTCTTTTGGATCCCGACTGCCCCGCCTCTCGATCAGGAGACGGAGGAAGCCCGCCTTAAATTCGCCAAGTACTGGGGCTTAGTGATCACGGCCTGGAATCCAGACCAGCTGCGGTTACCTGACGCCCGGAATCCCGCTTCTCTCGCCGCGGCAGACGTCACCAATACCGCTGATCAGTTTGCGGCTTTCCTCAACCGCCTCCAGATGCACTCGGCCTGTCGGGCACCTTACTGTCTACGGGCAAAGAAGGGTGGAGATCAACCCACCTGCCGCTTCTTCTTCCCTCGACCACTGTTTACGGATCCAGTCGTGACAAAGGAGATCAATCACAAGTCGTGGCTGTTCTCGCCGGCCCGGAACCAAGGGACCTTGAACCAGTGTGCACCGGCAATTACGATGGGCTGGATGGCCAATACCGATATCCAGCCGCCCACGACCTTACGTGCGGTGTTGTCGTATATAGGCAAGTACGTGTCGAAGCCTGAGAAGTCTTCTACATCTTATACTGAATTACAAGATCAAGTCCTTCCATATGTTAATGACCGGGCGCCTCTGCTATCATTTGTGTCCAAGATGCTTAATAAACTAATTGGAGAGCGTGACTGGTCGGCACAAGAGGTATCGCACATTCTCTTACAGCTCCCGGTTCAGAACTCCTCGCGGATGGTCGTGGGCCTCGATTGTCACCCAGAAGAACTTCAACGAGATCTGATTGTCCTAGAGTCAGGAGAGGTTGCGGCCCAACGCTCTCCGCTGCGGAGGTATCAAACCCGGCTAATAGACACGAATAATGGAAATGCCGCGCTCCCAGACCTGTCGCTCTTCGACTGTTTACGGCACTGGGATTGGCTAACCTGGAGGAATCGACCGCGAGCCCGTCCGCGAGTGATCAACTATTACCCACGTTACCCAAACGATCCCGAGTCTCCTACCTATGCGGACTACTGCCGAGTGAGGCTAATGCTCCATCACCCGTTTGTGGATTACACAGACCTGTTGACGGTTGATGGTCAGGTTTACGGGTCCTATATCCAGGCTTTTCAGGCCTGTCGGCGCTCGCATACTCATCCGCAGGACTTTTATACCGACCCGGAACCGGACCCGGAGGCATCGGACAGTGAGAGTGATGAGGACCCGGAAGAGCAGGCAGAGGGCGACCACCCTCTAGCGGACTTTGAAGCTTTTGCTCGCCGGAGGCCGCAGGAAGACTTCACCCGTATCGACCTGTTAGATAGCCTAGGCGTCCGCGAAATGGACCGCGACTACGATTGGTCCTTGCACGTTGGCCGGTACGATATATCCCCTGACATCTGGGACCAGGTCAAGGCCGAGAATCCGATAGCGCAAGCAGTTTTGATGGACTCCTCACCAGATCCTTTAAATCCAGAACAGAGGAAGTTGTACGACGCCGTGGTGAGTCAATATTCTGAAGAGCTTACTTTGGATGCCCCGCTCCCCCGTCAGCTCCTCTTAAATGTGGACGGTGTTGCCGGGTCCGGGAAGACCTTTACGCTTCTGAAAATTTGTGCACGGATTCAGGAGCTTGCTGTCGAGGCCGGAAAGCAGAACCCGGTCTTTCGAGCGGCTCCTACGGGTATTGCGGCATTCAATATCGTTGGTAAGACCCTTCACAGTCTCTTGCGGCTCCCGGTTAAGGGGAAGAAGTCGGATTTGTCAGCTGCTACCTTACAGTCCTTGCAGGCCCTGTTTCAAGACTGCCGGTTCCTGATCATTGACGAGAAGTCGATGATTGATATTCAGACACTGTCTTTGATCGACGATAGGTTGCGGGCCATTCTACCTGCCAGTTCGCACCTGCCCTTTAGCGGTGTAAATGTGCTATTGTGTGGGGACTTCTTCCAGCTACCACCGGTCGGAGGGCAACCTCTCTACTCATTAAAGCATTCCCACGTCCACGCGATCAAAGGCCACCAACTTTATCGAGCTTTCGATCGTACAATTCGTCTAATCCAGGTGATGCGGCAGCAAGGGGAGGACGATATGTCGACTAGGTTCCGGCTTGCTTTAAGCGAGTTACGGGTATCCGAGTTGTCTAGAGAGAGCTGGCAACTCTTATGCTCACGCACAGCGAACCAGCTCTCCCCCACAGAGGTTATGGCTTTTGATTCTGCCCTACGCCTCTATTTTACAACCGAGGAGGTTAGACTAACTAACGCTGACAAGTTGGCAGGTACGAACAGGCCCGTGAAGAAGATTGCAGCCCGTCACAGAGGCCGGAATGCTGCTAAGGCGACCGAGGATGAGGCAGACAACCTGAGCCCTGAGATCTCTCTCTGTATTGGCGCTCGGGTTATGCTGACGACGAATTTATGGACTGAGGTAGGTCTCGTCAATGGATCGATGGGTTCTGTCCATGATATTGCCTGGGATGCTGGGCAAGACCCATCCCTATCCATGCCTTCTGTGTTACTTATCAAGTTTGATGACTATGCTGGGCCTGAGTTTCCATCCTGCCCTCGAGGTGTTGTGCCTGTTTTCCCTGTGACCCGTCAGTTTGACTTCAAAGATGCTGTCTGCTCTCGGACCCAGTTTCCTTTACGGTTGGCATATGCAATCACGGTCCATAAAAGTCAGGGATTGACACTTCAGAAGGCGGTTTTAAATCTGAACTGTCGAGAGCATTGTTTGGATCTTTCTTATGTAGCGGTGTCACGGGTTAAACGATTAGATGGTGTATTATTTGAGGGACCTTTCGATTTTGAAGTATTTAAGCCCGTAGATTCGGTACTTTCCCGGGACCGAGAGTTAGACTATATCTTTAGGAATGGACAATTAATATGACCTATGCTCGAACGAAGTGAAGCCGGGGGTTTGGGGGCTGGCCCCCTTAAATTCAAACAAAAGAAATGAAATGAAGAAAATAAAAAAGAAAAACAAGTCAGGAAAAAAGCTTCGCTTTACCCCCGCGAATATCCTATCCGCGGCCCCTCGTATAGGTAAATAATACCGTTCTGGGCTTGAGTGAAGTAGTTAGTATAGACGTGGAATACGGACGTGGAATTCGCTCCAACCTCAGGCCACTGGCGTGACTTGGTGAATCTTTTAGAGGTAGTTGAGCTTTTGTAAAATTATTTAATGCAAAAAACAGGAGCCACTGACGTATTCTTCTTGGCATCAATGCAGTATGAGCTAATTCCACCGCCACACGGGGCGGATCTTCTAATGGTGCATTTACTGCCATGGCAGAACCTAAAATACGACGACACCCTTGCATTTTAGAGCGGTGGTACAAGGGGTAGAATCATCCGAAGCAGTGAATTCAAGCGCCCCGCCGTTGCCTGAGCCTGCCCCTGCCCAGCCTTGCCTAGCCGTGCCTGACGGCGAAATATAGTTGTCTAGCCTGCCTCGGCA